TAGGAAATGAAGATACCCTCCAATGCACTGCCTCTTGTGTTGCAGTGCCTTTGCTACTGCAGTCCAACACATTCTCTGTGGATCTATTCGTGCTATAACTCAAGGGGCAGATGTAGTGCTTGGCATCCAATGGTTATCAACTCTGGGACCAATTGTGACAGATTACTCTCAATTAACTATGTCCTTTAACCACAGTGCCTCTACCATACTACTCCATGGTGATTCAGATCCCTGCCCATCCCAAATATCCAATCCCAATTACACAAACTTATGGCCCAAAATTCTGTTTCTTCTTGCTTCATGTGCCTCACCAGTAACACATCCACACCTTCCTTAAAAAAAGATATGACAACACACCCTCCTCTAATACAACATATTTTGCATCAATTTCAAGATGTTTATAATACCATTACCTCTTTACCCCCTGACAGAAATTCCAACCACCACATTAACCTCCTTCCCAACTCTAAACCTGTACAGGTTCAACCTTATAGATATCCCCATTTTCAAAAAATAGAAATTGAGAAAATGGTCAACGAGATGTTGACTAATGGAATAATTAGACCCAGCCAATCCCCTTTCAGTTTCCCAGTCCTGTTGGTTCGCAAAAAGGACGGCACATGGCGCTTTTGTGTTGATTACCGTGCTTTAAATGCCATTACCATCCCTGATAAATTTCTAATTCCTACAGTGGATGAACTACTAGATGAGTTACATGGTGCCCAGATTTTTTCTAAGTTGGACTTACGGTCTGGTTATCACCAGATTAAAATGGAGCCAAATGATTTCCATAAGACCGCATTCAGAACTCACAGTGGTCACTTCGAGTTCCTGGTCATGCCATTCGGGTTGTCTAATGCTCCATTCACCTTCCAGGAAACTATGAATCATGTGTTCAATCAATTTCTGAGAAGATTTGTCGTCATCTTCTTTGATGATATCTTTGTCTACAGTTCATCCCTTCAAGCCCATTATGAGCATTTGGTGCAAGTGTTGCAGACACTTCGTGATCATAATTTTTTTTGCTAAATTTACTAAATGTTCCTTTGCTGTGCAGGAAATTCAGTTCCTTGGTCACATTATTTCTGCAAAGGGTGTTTCACCTGATCCATCCAAGAAACAGGCTGTCAAGGATTGGCCCATCCCTCAATCAGTTACACAACTCAGGGCCTTTTTGGGCTTATAAGGCTACTATCGTAGATTCATATAAGGGTATGCAACAGTAGCAGTCCCTCTCACTGATTTGTTATCCATAGATGCCTTTAGGTGTCCACAGCTGCAGAATAGGCCTTTACCTCACTTAAGAATTTATTGAGTAATGCACCTATTTTAGCTCTACCAAACTTTGCCCTTCCATTTGTATTGGAAACGGATGCTTCTGGTGCAAGAGTTGGAGCAGTACTACTACAAGCAAACCACCCAATTGCCTACTACAGTCGCAAATTGTCTAAAAACATGCAAGCCAAATCTACTTACTTCAGGGAGATGTATGCCATAACATCTGCTATCGCGAAATGGCGACAATATCTATTGGGAACGTCCTTTGTGATAAAGACGAACCACAAAAGCTTGCATCACTTGATGTCCCAAGTGATTCAAACCCCTGAACAACAACAATTCCTTGCGAATCTATTGAGTTTTAATTACTCAATTCAATATAAACCTGGGAAACTCAACATTACGGTTGACGCTCTGTCACGACAGCCTGAGGGGAGTATTATGTGTTTATCCCCTGAATCAAGATTACTCAGTTATCCTACATCTCAGTACAGTCCAATTATGCAGTCTGAATTACAAAAAGACTCCTATGCTACTGCTATTTTACAAGATTTACAAAAGGGGTCATCCAAATGGCCACACTGGCACCAACATCAGGGACTGTTGTTTCATCACAACCGTTTGTACATTCCTACAGGTTCATCCTTGATCTCATCTCTTCTTCATGACTTCCACTCATCCAAGGTTGGAGGTCATGCTGGCATTCGACGCACACTCCTGAGACTGGGAGCCAAGTTTACCTGGAAACACATTAAAAGATATGTTCAGCAGTTTATTCACTAGTATGATATATGTCAAAAAACCAAAGCTCCAAACCAATTTCCATACGGCCTTTTACAACCCTTTTCTATCCCCGAAACCATTTGGTCGGAGTTGTCCATGGATTTTATCACACATTTACCAAATTCAGGGGGGTTTACGGATATTCTAGTAGTGGTTGACAGGCTCACCAAAGGAGCCCACTTCGCAGCATTACCATCCAGATACTCAGCAGCTAAAGTAGCCTAAGTCTTTTGGGATACTGTGGGGAAACTACATGGTCCCCCAAAGTCAATCGTTTCACTACAACACAGCTTACAATCGATCTTCTAGAACATCGCCTTTTCAGGCCACTTATGGAAGAACTCCACCTTGCCTCCTGGATTATACACTGGGGACCACTTCCATAGAGGTTGTAGACTCTGATCTCCATCAACGTTCCAAGATCCTCGCATCATTGAAACAAAACTTAAGAAAAGAACAGGCTTTAATGAAGAATCAAGCGAATAAAAATCATACAGATCTTACCTTTAAGGTCGGAGATCGGGTGCTCCTTCGACTGCAACCGTACCAACAATTGTTCGTCCACCACAACTCCTCTCACAAGTTAAGCCTTCGTTTTTATGGCCCATTTGAAGTCACTGAGCGTATCGGTAGGGTAGCATACCGCCTCAAACTTTCGGAGGGCTCTCGAGTGCATCCTGTTTTCCATGTGTCACTCTTGCGACCATTTGTGCCTTCAGGAAACTATCAGGTTCACCAGCTTCCATTGGACCTCCATCGTACACCCCCAGTACACGTTCCGGTTGCCGTTGTTGCCCATCGGTCGATCTGGAAACAAGGTAAAGAAACCCCTCAGGTTTTGATTCAATGGCAGGGTTTATCGCCGGAGGAGTCAACTTGGGAGGATGAGTCCCTTTTGGCCGCGGGACTGATAACAAAGGCTTCACCTTTGCTTCATGTCAAGACCTCGTCTCAACGAAAGCAAACGTCTTTGGAAACACAAAGTGGTAATGAAAGGACACAGAGTCCCAAGGTCACTGCTTTAACTCAGACATTGGGTCACCAACAGGTCATTAATGCCACCGCTCCTTTAGCCAATCAGAAGGAAGACACGGGGATTCTTATCCCTTCACCATCCAATCATCCTTTAGTGCTAGATAATTGTCAAGCCACTTCTCGAACCCTGGCTGCCACCGACAATTCGGATAACCTAAGTAGGGTTTGTCACGACATGGGCCGTTTGACTACTGGCCCAACCAACCTCGCGGATGATGTTTGTTTTGATGGCCAAGGGAGTGTTGCAACCCAATTAGCTGGATTGGGTGGGAGCAGGCCCATCCACATCAAGAAGAAGCACAATTACCTAATGGACTATTTTCAATAGTCAGCTTGCTTTACAATGTTAACATCTGTTGTAATCAAAGAAAAACTAAAAGAGATACAAGAATAATTGTAAGTGATACGAATATATAGCCAAGAAGGGCGTGAATAGAAAAACATAAAAAAGTTGGACAAATCTCTCTCTCTCTAATACCTCTCTCTACTTCTTCTCTCTCACGTGTTCCTTCCTCTTCCCTCTGTTATAGATCTGAACCCCTACAGGAACCTTAAGACTTAGGTAGTAAATAAAGGTGGGACATATATTCTTCCAATATCTGTAATAATTTCTCGTTAAAAAAATTTGTCTTTCTTTTTTTAAAAATAAAGATATATATCATTTAATGCTTCTGTTTTTTCTGTAAAAAAAAATCTACCACACTCATATAAAAGCGAATAGTTTACATTGTAAAGATAAGAAAGAGAAAAAAATAATGGTATCCAGCACTTTTATGTAAGTATGACAAAAAAAAATTATAATAAAGACATAAATATTTTTTGTTAAGATAAATCAATTAATAAAATTGTAGAATATATAAGAAGAATGTACGTAGCATAGTTTTTCCTATTCCCTTTCTCCACCCTCCTTGCAAAGCCCCTTTTTTAAGTATCTCCAAACTCACCTCACTTATTGACCTTATCCTAAACTAAAAAAAAAGGTATTATTAGTCTGCAAAGAACTCTTTGATAATTACAATTTACCTAATAAAAAAATTTAATTATTAAAGAAGAAAGTATAGAATACTTTTTAAGATATTAGTTATTTTTTTCATTAAAACTTTGCGTTTTAAATAATTAAATATGAAGATAAGAAATAAAACTTATTATTAAACCACTAGGAATGGTCCATTTATGAGAGACTTAAACAGTTTGTATAAAGTCAGTTTTATAATCTCACTAGTCACTACCACAAGCCATTAGGATTGGTTTTGTAGTTTGTATTAGTTATATATTTAATTCCTACCATTATATATATAAATCTGACAGCAACGAGGCATTATATCTTACAAAAATAAAAACATAGTAGAAGATATCAAATAAAACATATATGGAAAAAAAAATATGTTTAACTATTGAGGAAAAAGTCAAAGATTGAGGAAGCACAAGTGGTTTGGATTTGGATATGATGTCCACGTGGGTCCCAAAAGGAGAACCATGTGTCAAGGAGAAGAGCTTAGAGTGGGAAAGGGATGGAAAATAAATGAGAGCACATGGGGGCGTACCTAGCATATTTTTCGGGCTTATAAATAACCCTTCATAGGTTTGATGTTCTTACACATATCACGTGCTATCCTCTCCTTCTCCTCCTCTGCTCTCTTCAGCTCTGCTCACTCTGTGCACCCCTTTTCTTTTCTGCCTTTCTCTTCCTTATTGTTATCTCTTTTGTTTCCTTCTTCCCTGCAAATCTTATCCAATCTTTTGGTCGTTACGGTATACTTATCAAACTAGTAGTTTTGTTCGTTGGTTGACAAAGAAAGCTACCTCTCTTTAAAGCCTCTTACTATATATATTAGTACTAGACTACTAGTACTAGTACTAATACTAAGTAATACACACTCATCACCACACACCACACACCACACATGGACAAGGACTACAACAAAAAGAAAGTTGGAGGAGGTTCTTCTTCTTCCTCATCACCCACCAATTTTGATCATCTTTTTGGTCCCAAGGACCCCTCCACCACTTCTTCTTCCTCCACCAGCATCTTTGGCTCCATGTTCCCCCCTCCATCCACTGTATGCATAACCTCCTTCAACTTTTTTTTTTTTTTTTTTTTTGTATTATATGCATGGATTTTGGATTTTTCATTTTGCTCAATCTTTTATAGCCTGCCCTACATGTTTATTATTTTTATTTTTGAGATTGTGAATTAGTTTTGGCAATATGTCATATGGTTGTTGCTTCTGACATGACATGGGGTCTTTTTCGGGAATATGATAGCTTTGGGATGTTGGTAATAACTAATAGAGAAATATAATCATAAAGTTAGATGACATAATTATATCATGTTCTAGAGATAAAGTTAATGGGATTCACTCTTTAATTTATTTATTTTTTATTTCAATAGTGAATCCATCAACTTTGTCTCTACAACATAATATAACTTATGTCATGTAACATGACAAAATAGAATCCTAACTAATAACAAAAAAAACTTCCCCTGCTTGAAGGTCCTAGAGAGTTCGTTCAAGTCAATATTATAACACCTTTACATGATAGCTATTGAGCGCATTAATGGTCAAACTATTCCATTTAGGCAACTAAATATAACTAAAAGTCTACAACCTTTTTCATTTTGTAGCTGTTCTTTTACCGTATAATACATATTCATTCTGCATAAAATGAAGTTGATGATGGTAATTGAGCAAGCAAGCACCTTGTTGAGTATGAAATTTTGAAAATCCTTTTGGTCTCTATTCTGTGCTCTGAAGTCTGTAAGGCATGCATGCCATTAATCAGAACTTATGTGTGAATGAGAATGGCATATAATTGTTTATGAAATATAATTTACATGTCACATATATGCATACTTAACCCTGTTACTCTTTTTGTAACTTTAGGTTGGAGGGAGAGATTCAACAAGGCAAGACATGGGAGGCAAAAATTATGGAGCACCAGGTCCTTTAAACATATATACACTATACTCTGACTTGAGTACTAAACATATATATATACCCATCTCAAATCTTGTCTACATACAGGGAACATGTGGCTTTTTCATTACTTTTTAAATGTTTGGGCTTATATAGTAAAGCTTAAGATGGATTCGTTTCAGGCAATTACAGTAACAAAGGTGAAAGCAGTGGTGGCATCTCTAACAAGAATACTAGCACCAATTATCAGAATGAGACAGTGGAACCCAGCTACTATAGTTCATCAATCTATTATGGGGGTCAAGAAAATTATTCCCCAAGAACCAGGACCACTGAATCCCACCATAGTGTGAGTGCCTTAATTCTCATCCTTTACTATGGTCCATGGTGTTTTTTACCACAAGGTTATATATATTATTAAGTACCACCATCTGTATTCCTTAACAAAAGTGCTACACAATTTTTTTTTTATAATTAAATAACATATAAAACTTTAATGAGAAATCATGGAAATTTAACTAGTGGCAGATTATGTGTTTTTTTTATTATTATTCATTTATGCAGGCTCATTAACTTTAAATAAAATAGTAACCATACAAGCAATGATGCAGAAGCTAATACTTTATAGTTTTTAGTTTATATATGCTTTAATTAAACATACAACATATAATAACATTTGGCTTCTCTGCAGTTCAAGAAAGATAAGGATGATGATGATGATCCAAATGGTAACGATTCAAACAGTGCTTCAAGAGGGAACTGGTGGCAAGGTAGGATATATAGTCTTGGTTGACCAGTAGTAAAATTAATAATAATAAAAATGAAATAAAATCTCAGGCATTCTAAGCGTTTTAAACGCAGGTTAGTCATTTTAGTGTACCTTTCTTATTTTTTATTTCTGCAGGCTCCCTTTATTATTAACACCACTCTGCCACAATATGCAAACTCACCATTCTGTAGACCAGGTATTTAAATTTTAAATTTAAGTCCTGTATCTTTTCCTTCTATAGTTTGAAATTGAATTGCCTCTTTTAAGTCCTACGCGATAAGTCCCGTACATTAATCATACGGAACTAGTGTTTACTTCAGTATATTTGTAATATGAGACTTAAAAGAGTCTCGTATATTTGTTGTATGAAACTTCAACCCTAGTACTAAATAGCGCATGGTTGACAGTGCTGAATTTGTAAACAACCTTTTAAAGAATGAATTAAATAGATACTTTTTTTGTATAAAATTTGTAGTACGGTCAAAAAGTGGCATGCAAGGAAAAACATTATAACTTTATATCCAAATTCTCGCTTAAGAAAGAAGTACTTTAGTATATTTAGTTTCTATTGAAACCAAATTTTTTATTTATAAAATAGTTTATAATAAAAAATTATTTTATAATAAAAAAAATGTAATATTATTCTTTTTATCATATTGATTAATGGGTTGTATACTTGTATGTTTGATATGTTATATAATTTCACTTTTCTACACATACAATAAAAAAAAAAAATAAAATAAAATTATGAAAAAGAAAAAAAAATACGTGAATTTCATCTTTTTAATATATGTATAAAAAGTGAAATGAAATTATGTAATATAACAAACATAAAATCGTTACTAATTACTATTTAACTCGGGTTTTTGGACTTTGTTGACAACGTTGCAGGATGATGATCGACCACGTACGTTGTACCATACAGTAGTACTCTACTCTAATTACCTCTATCGAAATAAGACATAGTAGCGCATATATACTACGTACGACTCTAGTACTCTTTTGGGAACATGTGTTGGGTACTTTTTGTCTCAGCCTCTTCACACATAAGAAAACCCTCAGAAGTAGCTTGGTGAAAAAACTACTCCCTGCTGAGTTTGTTATGTTTTATACAAAAGGTTTCATGTGGTAACCTGACCTTTAGACTATAGTACTGTTGTTTTATATATAATCATGTGACCCTGTTACATATACTTTATGGTTTCTTGTTCTATCCACTGTAATATATATATATAGCTTATTGTGACTTGCGATTGTGCCCTCTTACTCTCTTGCGAGTGTGTCATGCGAACATATTGTTTTGTGAACGGATTGATGTCATTTTTGGGACTTATGAATAAGACATTGAGAATATAACACATATTAAATACCACTTTTTAAGTCAAACTTATTAAACACCTCCTTAAGAGCTATAATAAACCAAAAATTGTGGTTTACCTAAGATATATATAGATGAAGGTTTTCCAAACATATATAGACATACTTGAAAATGTTAATACAAACCAACTCATTTGTAGTTCACCGCCATGACTTACTATAATCATTGGTTTTCTTGGGGAAAGCTAGGAGCAACATAATACCATTTTTCACAAAAAAAAAAAAAAAAATTGCGTGAAAACATTACGAAGTGCCTAATAGTAATAACCAACCAGCTTGAGGTAGAATAACATCATGATTCATTCAAAAAAAAATTAATAATAATAATAGCATGACATGAATAACAAACAGTGAACGAACGGGCATACTATGATAGTTTGTTAAGATTTCGTGAAGAATAATGGTGATATTTAATATCATTCAAAAAAACATGGTCAGCTAAAGATATTTTATTGAAATAATTAAAAATAAATAAATAGGAACACTAGATCATTTACTCTTGTAACTTTTAAAATAAGTAAAAGGACCAACTTATTTGCACTTAGATAGCCGAAAGCCCAATCAGCAACATTTGCACTTAGATCGGCTAAAGCCCAAGGAAGTTAAATCACTAACAGATCGATATTGTAATTTGATCAGTGCCCATTTTAGCTAAAAGCATTGTAGCAAACCAACGCTATCTTCTTTACCGTATACTCCCGTCCAAATAAAGATTGAATTTAAATCAACCAAAAAGTTATTTTTTAAAAGGACACACAAGTTATTTATTAAATTTATAAGAAAGTGTTACAATGTAACTTATTTATGAGCCGCTATTTTGAGCTCAAGTTATTAAAGATACAACACACAGCACACTGTAGCCCGAACTTTGACGATAAATGTCATAACCTCAGGCACCATAACCCATGTTAACAGCCTTCAACGTATATATATATATAAGAGCTGCAATACATTAGAACAAAAACAATTAATGAGCATATTGTACTTTATATTTATGAGCGTTATTGGTATTTAGGGAAAACATTTTCTCCTTTTAAAGGAGAAAATTTTTCTCATGTTAGTGACACATTGTATAAGTGGGTTCCACAAAATAGTGGAAAGAGAAAAAAATTAAAGGTGGGACCCACATATGCTTTGAGTCACTAACATGAGAAAAATTTTCTCCTTTAAAAGGAGAAAATGTTTTCCCATTTATTTATGTGTTGAAGATAGTTAGTTACCTCAAGGGTTGACCTTGACATGATGACAACGCGCGAGAATGGTGATTGCAACTTTGGGATTAACGCCAACTTTCTTGAAGGCATCAGAAGAGAAGATAGCATGCATGCAAGGGATGCTTACCTCTGCTACCTCTTTGCAGCACTGAGCAGAAACAGGAGCACACTCGTCACGTGCTGCTTTTTCACAGTGACGCAGCTTATGTGTCAACATTCTTTGTGTGCTAAACTTGCCACATGGACCACCTTTATCATGTTCATGATGAAAATCATGATCATGATCAGCAAGAGCCACAGTGATCAAAAGCAGCAGCATGACCCAAATGAACTTGTTCATGTTTGCTAATTAACTTGTGTGTATTTCCTTAACTAAGTAGCTTCAATTAATATTTTGCAAGGCAACTCACACAAAACTCATTAGCATCAAGCTCTATATATATTGCCATTAGCGAGACAAATTTAGAAGCAATTGTTGACAAAACCATGTTCTCAAGCTAGCAACTTGTTTCTAATTCTCATTCTTTAATTTCTTGGGAGAAGAGCTATAGTTGGCAAGCTGCACGCAGATTCTTACTTTTGTGGAACAGTCTCAAGAAGCAGTACAATGGAATATCTTGAATCATAAATGTGGTTTTTGAATTATCGTACGTGGTTTTTGAATAATTGAAGGGGACATTGACCATATTGCCACTCCTTTAATAAAAATTTACCTGATTGCCACTTCTGAAAAAAAAATTGCCAAAATGCCACGCCTGAATCCCGCTGGTCTGACAAGCGGGAATGGACTGGACACGTGTCAGCGTCTGAATGGTCAACCATTCTCGCTGGGCTGTCCAGCTAGAATGACAGAATGCTGACACGTGGCAAAAGTACAGACATCCAGAGAATGCATGTGCTTTTGCCACGTGTCACATACTGTCATTCTAGCTGGGCAGCCCAGCGAGAATGGTTGACCATTCAAACGCTGACACGTGTCCAGTCCATTCCCGCTTGTCAGACCAGCGGGATTCAGGCGTGGCATTTTGGCAAAAAAAATTTCAGAAGTGGCAATCAGGTAAAATTTTGCTTAAAAAGTGACAATATGGTCATTGTCCCTAATTGAAGCTGCACGTCATGTTACAATTAGAAGCTCTATGGTTTTTGAACAAGATTAATTAATGTGGTTTAATTTACATCTTGTTCGGGTTGATTATCATACAATTGTCAAATTAGTCATAAAGAATGAAAGTCTCAACTATAGCTGTCGTCTACTCTAGTTCACCTAATTTGGTATCCTTCAAATAATTATTCTTTTTCAAAGTTTAATAAGAAAAAATGCAAGAACTCTCAATAACCATATATAACCCCACCTGTGAGAAAACAAGTATTGCTTCACATATTGTTTGGTTAGTATGAGACCTTAAGTTATCTATGCGATGCGTCTAGCCAAAAAAGAAAACACACACAACCTTCACCCTGCCTTTACACCTTATTTTTATCTCTAGCTTAGGAAGAAAAACATTTGTTTAAAAAAAAAAAATCAAATGTAGTAAACTATTTTCAATTCATATGCATTTGTGTACATAGTTAACGATACAATTGATTTTTGTTTAGTAATGCAGCTGCGTTTGTTGTCCGTACGATGGACAGTAACTCAGTAAGTACTGCAAAAGCCCATCAGATTATTATGTGCGACAACATTCAGCGCCCGCTGAAAGCCTTGTATTGTTATGCATAGTCCAATCCAATGACCCGAAAACAAATCAATTAAAGCTGGCGAAGTGTGCTTCGCATGTAAATAAAATGAGTTTACAAACAAACAGCCAATGCTAATTGCTTTGAGGTTCGGTTTTAATTTTCACATAGCTGTTGTACCTGCTTAATTTTAGTTTAGGATTCAAATTCATAATGGATGCCAGACTATCACTTTTTCTTTTCTATTATATATATAAAAAAAAATTGTCTTCCAAAACTTTAGGCTTGTTTCGGTCACTCTTAGGAAGAAAATGGAAGGAACGGGAGGATTTTATTTGTAACACCCTCACTTGTATGCATCCAATAGAGTTGTTTGCTAAGCGGATTAGAGTTCTTTAATCATATTTTAGAGACTGAAAATCACTTTTACAATGCAATTAAAAACTCATAATTGAAATCGGGTTCGTCACAAAAATCAGAGTATACTTTCAAAATTTCTCAACTACTAAAAATATAACTTTCCTGGCAGACCTCGCTGTCTTTAAAAATTCGTATAAAATTCACTTCAACGATTCAAAAAAATATTCTTTGTAATCTAGAAACTAGACATCTGGGGCTTCGCGTTCATATAAAATAATAGTAATTTGAAAGTCGTTTGCCCCTCGAAACATAACTCGTAAGGCGAGAGTTAAAATCAGTGAATTTATATCAAACGACCTGACTTGCAAAAATCATAATAAATCGACCTTTCAGAATTTCGCTGAAAGGTTTATATGTAATAAAACTAGACACTGGGGCTACACGTGCATATAAATTATAAGAAAATCATAGGTCTGTAGCCCCGGGACGCCAACCTACAAAATGCTCGCACAAACAGTTTTAACTTAGCTTTCAAAACGTCATGAATCAGTTTTCGTAAAAACTGTTCTGAAATCCGTTTCAAAACACTTGCTGTTCTTAAAAGTCTTAAAACAGGATGCAAACATAGTTCACTAATAATTTAAACATCAACAATTAGTACAGTCATCCATGAAATTAATACAACCACAGCAGCATGCCCAACAGTAGAAACCAACAGCACATATCCAAGTCCTCAAAAGCTTTTACGTCCTCCTGCCATTTTATAAAAATAGCAGCCCCAAAGGGGTAAGAAAAATCCCAGTAGTGTGGCAACAAAACCACTAATGCAACAGTATTAAACTAGGCTCAAAACAGTCGCTTCAAACATTAAATCCTTTTCATCATATAACATTTTCATCATATATCCTTTTCATCATATATCCTTTTCATCATATATCATATTGCGTATATAACGCCTTCATCACGCTCATAGCACCGTCGTACGCGTGCCATCACAGTGGATATTCCATATGGCTCCAAAAATCAATGGTGAATTTCCAACTGTGGACCTATGCGGACGGAAGCCAAGTGTCCCCTCTCCTGGTACCAGGCATGCCTATATGATGCATGCTCATTCACATGTATATTTATTTATACATATATCTCTTTTCCAATGAATGTTCAATGTTGTATGCCATGCAATACTTTCCCACACAAAACAGAAAATAAATGCGGTATGATGTAACATGCATAGATATATCATCATTCTCATAACATAAACTTCATGCTGCCACATGAACATTTTACCTCATCATTGAAACTTCGTCAAACATTTCCGTAGGCAGAATACTTTCAATATAAATAACAGTATAATTATCATTCGCATGTGAGCGACACGTAACAATCTCATACACTAGTCAATAGTCACATTAGGTAATACCACCGTACACTTACTGTTAAGAGTGTTAGTGTTAATAGTGTAGAAGTCCCACATTGAGTGTGTCTCTTTGTATTCTTCAATTGGTTTGCTATATAATAGCACCAATGTTGTGTAGTTTAATATAACAAGGATTACTATCATTTCCTCTTGTATCTATGATATTTAACATGGTATCTAGAGCCTAATAAGAGAAATCTTAATCCGTTTAACTTAGTTCTATTTTCCATAATTTCAATATGGTTATAGAGAGATATCACCCTCCTTGAGGGATTCCCGTTGCTATTTCTTTTTCGGGTTTTTCTTAGTATGCTCTGTGACTGCAGCTTAGACTGATCTGTCACATCAGAAAAGAATGATCCTTGGGAAGTTGTTGGGTTGACCACCGTTGTCGTTGACCGACCACCGTTGATCGACTGCGTCGTCCACCGTTGACAGCCGTCTCCGGCGACTTTTCTGGTGACTTTTCCGATGACTTTTCGGCGACTTTTTCGGCGATCCACCACCGTCTTCGATGACTTTTCCGACGACCCACCGCCGTCTCCGACGACTTTTCCGATTCCGCGAAGCTTTGTTTTTCTTTAATCTTCTTTCTTCCCAAGATGGAGTATTTATACTATTCATCATCCATCTTGAGGGGGAGCACTGTCCAAGTTGCTGATGTTGTCTCCGCTGATACCGAAGTTCCTCTTGAGGGGGAGCACTGTCCATGTTGCTGATGGTCATTCCAGCACAATTGTCTTTGCCGATGATAATTCCGGCACTGTTTAGAAGTTCCTCTTGAGGGGGAGCACTGTCCATGTTGCTGATGGTCATTCCAGCACAATTGTCTTTGCCGATGATAATTCCGGCACTGTTTAGAAGTTCCTCTTGAGGGGGAGCACTGTCCATGTTGCTGATGGTCATTCCAACACAATTGTCTTTGCCGATGATAATCTCGGCCTGTTTAGAAGTTTCTCTTGAGGGGGAGCACCGTCCATGTTGCTGATGGTCATTCCAGCACAATTGTCTTTGCCGATGATCATTCCGGCATCTTCCATGTTGATGTTCATTTCGACGCCATTTTTAGCACATTGTTGATTTTTGGTTTCTCATTTAGGAGATTTATTTTGATGTTATGTTACTTGGTCTTTCTTGTAATAAGCTTGTAGCATAGTCAAGGGGAAACCACGGCTGCTCACCAACTGTTAAATGAAATGTCTGAGAGGGATCTTGATGCTGATGTCCTGGTCAGCTCAGTTGTCTTTGCCGATGATAATTCCGGCACCATCCATGCTCTGATGTCCATTCCAGCACTGTCTCTTTATCAGCTCTTCAGACTGATGGTCATTCCAGTTGATTTGTTGTACTTAGTCATTTCATTTCGTTGATGTAGCATTGTTGTTTTTGGTTCCTAATGAAAGTATTATTTATGTATCAAGCTTGTAGCATATGATCTATATGCTACAGCTTGAGGGGGAGTGTTAAGAGTGTTAGTGTTAATAGTGTAGAAGTCCCACATTGAGTGTGTCTCTTTGTATTCTTCAATTGGTTTGCTATATAATAGCACCAATGTTGTGTAGTTTAATATAACAAGGATTACTATCATTTCCTCTTGTATATATGATATTTAACACTTTCCTTATGTGTCGTAATAAAATTACCGGTAAGCAGTGAAACAGTCCAACGTCTCAAAGGTTCTTCGCACCTAATTTAGAGGTATAACTAATCAGTATACGTTATGATTTAGTAGCAAAACTCCAAATTTATAAGTCCTTACCCTATTCGGCCATATAGTCTCTTTTTTTTCTAAGATTATTTTTGTCTTTTTTTCAATTCTTTTTAACACTAAACAGTGAGCAAACAGTGGGTGTTTTTACTCCAAACAGTGAGCATTTTTCATCAAC